CGGGGTCATAATTTGGGCATGCACATCTGACATGATGAATTACAGATATGTACATCTCTGATAGTACAAACAGATTCCAAAAAAACGAGATGCTCCATGCAAAGCTCGTCGCCGCGCTACTACCTCAAATAACTAAATACAAACTACAGCCTGGTCTCGTTCGTGCCTCTCGTTATCCGCTGTTTATTGTGTCCTGCAGTTCAAAGTTCAATCCAGTTTCGGCCTTCACCTATTTGTACGCACAAAGCTAGAAGAAATGTAAGCATAACTTAAACTTGCTGCTCATTTAAAGTTAATCATTTCTAAAGAGTAACTTGCTGCATACGCACCTTACATAACATGTAGCAATCATATGTGCACATCGTGCAATACTTCAGAGAAAGTATTCGAACATAACTATCCTAGAGGAGATGATCTCCACTACGCTTCTATAAAATAACGTGCTAGATGGTGTCTGAAGATCGCTTTCATGATCATCATAATGGCCCATTATGGCTCAAACCGATAGTATCGATAACCTTAAAATGGAGTCCATGCGTTTAAACTACAACTCAAATTATTCATGTGGTTTTCGCCAGACTCCGAAAAAAACACTGTACCATCGTTCGCCGTGCAGTTGTGCTGACCGATCGCATCAGAATAGCTTCTACAGTAATCGAAACAACCATGCTGTTGGAACGAACGTCGCTGAGTGAGTTAAACTATCCACTGCACAAACAGTTTACGACAGCGGTTTCAGTGAATCTTGGAACCAGAAGTTCGGTGCATGACATCCACGCACGTACTGAAGTAACCTTACAGCAGGTCTACCGTTTACCTTCAGGGCCTTTAGAGCTTTGAACAACAGAGACAAATAATTGCATAAAGCCTCACAATTAGAATTAATCTTTTTAGGTAATTTGTTTCGCCTTGCTTTTAACTCACTGGTACGAAAATACAGCTTTGTGCTTATAACGACTCTACTGTCAAAGCGAATAAACTTAATCTTATTTCGTGCAAACGTTTTGTGTTAATGAAACTAAACGTTTAAAAAAGGGCAAAATGTGGTACACAAGCATTCTATATGGATAACAGTCACGTGTATGCATTTCTAATTCTAGAATGTTTTCATAATTAATAATTTTCGAATGTTTCCATAAATCGGATATACAATTATTTGTGAAGTGTTCGCAACCATCGTTCTGCGAAAGTAACTGCTAAATGCTGCTCGCCAGTCCCTTCCCTCTTGAACAACAGTTCCATTTTAAGCAGTCTTGGCTAACTAATATTCATGCCTAAAGCTAGGTTAAACGTCGCCACTAAGTACAGAAAACTTCGTTATAGTGCGGATTTAGGGAGACATAAATAAATCCGCTAAATAAATAAACAGTGACATTACAATCATCGACTTTATCCGTGATGGAAACAGAAACCGAATTAAAAATAATTTATACAATGAAAATAACATACCCCACTTCTGTAGCATGTGAAGCGTCGAGGACACGCAAACTTTCACTCATGACCGTGCTGTCCGGTATGATCTGACAGTCTGCTGAAAACTGATCATGCGTTGGCAGGCAGTGCCGCTAAACCTCTTTCCCTTCTACCGCGATTCGTTCGCTCAATGGAAAAGATCCGGTGGCCCATCTCCATATCCGCTACTCCAGCTTTACCATAATGTGCACAACGCCGAACGCTGCACTGCGGAACGGAAGACGAGGGCGGAATCGACCGCTCATCGTGAACGCACGCGAACGCAGGTACAGTCATGCAACGCACGTAGTATCGATTTGGCGAAGTGAGGAGTCAGATGGTTTTTGTAAATTCTTCCGTAAACAGTAAAACTTCGTTATAGTGCTTATATAGCAACCGATATTGCTGAGCAATGTAGACAGCGAACGATCATATCTAATATATTCGTTTCAATCATTCAAAAACATGGTGCGATGCGGCAAAGGATAAGCAAGGCATGAGTTATCTTACCAGCGAATATCTGCCCCATGAACTAAACGGTCGTACAGCAGAAGCAGGCGATCCTCATATTACTTCACAGCTTAAGCCGTAAAACTTATTACTTATTGCTCCTAAATATCATGTGGAAAGAAGAATAATTTAAAAACAGTCGAACAGTCGGATATAATGAAATGCGATGATAAGCTGGTGAAAACTTCGTCCTGCTGAACAAGTACTCACGATAGTTCCGATAGCCGAGGTACGATCAGAATACTCTATTTTCGTTTTAGCACATCATTTCTGATCCATTTCGAGCTTTACCGAACATCGTTGAACCCCAACAATCGCATACAAACAACACAGAAACAAAAATTCATCGGCTAAAACCTACTGACTTGTCTTTGAAAATAAAACAAGCCGCAATATTATCGGTTCGCAAGCAAACTGCTAGTTTTTGATACCGCAGAAAAGACTAACAAGTTCATGTCACTTCTCTGGATTCAGACGGCGAAAAGTGGCGCAGTTCCACTGTCCACATGATTCTAGAAGCTGTGGAGCTCGTTCAAGTCGACCATGACTCCCTGGTACTCTAACGCCTGCAATGCATTGCCGCAAAACATCACCACATTGTTGGGTCTAACCATAACTTGTTCGGCCACCAACGGACACGCCTCGATCAGTAGGCTCTGGCAACAAAAAAATAAACCTTCAAACTGCTAGTCTGGGACACCGCCGGCAAGAATAACAACTCCCGTCATTTCTTCGGTTTTTACGACTATGCGCACTGCAGGTGCCAAACTACCATGTAGCCGTGACCTGCGTAAACGGTCCCCTGTGCTACTACAAGCAACAAGGAACTGCAACTGTGCCGTCTGAATCCGTACAAGTGCCAGAAAGCTATCTGTAAAAAAGCGCCACAGTTCGTTTAAGGCAAAAAAAAACTACGGTGGATGTAAACTTCACTTTTCTGCGAATAAACATGCACCACATTCAACTGATACATCATTTCCGAGGAATGTCAGATTAACCTTTTACCAATCACACTGTGCCAGTCAGTTGTATCTGCTAGATTAGGTGTGATTCATACAATACAGACTAAGAAGATAAGAACTTTTCACATCATGAAAATAAATGTTACGATGCTGTAAATGCAGATGCTGCATGTCCGGACATAGTAAATTACAGTATGAAAAAGAACTGTTGTCACAAGTTTGATTTCGGTCGCAAGGATGCCGATGACACCACAGCCGAAAAAGACGCAAGTAGTACTGAAGAAAGGGATACTGCTGTCAAAAAATGTTACACAATAAATAGAAAATATTCATCTAGATTCAACATGGTACCTGTCAACCTTCATTGGTATCCAATGCCTAACTTCTGTTGAAACTATTCCTAGAATCCCTTTCTTTATTGTTAAAAGTTATTACATATAGTGCAGCTTCAGCTTGAGCAAAACACGATAAGCGCTTTGTCAGAATCTTCGAAGTTACGATAATGGTAAGTGGTTCAGTCATTCTTGCGAACTTGGCAGTACTTCTGATCAGCTAGACTATAGAAGCAAATAGCAGCCATCCACTTTCATCAGTAACTCTCAACTTCTTTCTGTACTCAGAGAATAGTACGGTCAACAGAAAATCCACTGACTCAATTGCCGAAGGCATCAAAATCAATCGACGTGTATGAATCACATACCATCTGTTCGGACAGCATTCATGCGGTGCATTGTCAAGGTCACAGTGAGCAAAACGAGAAGCAGCGACATGTCGCAAATGGCCGCTTAATATCGCCATACCTCACATAGCGTCGATAGGATTCTACCTCGTCTGTGCATTGGATGGAAGCTATGAAATGTTTAACGATATTTAATGTACCGTAACACTAATCTTACACGTCAATATGTTACCATTTCTCTCGTCTACCCGTTGTAACTCTGCATGCGAACGACATGAATGCCATTCGAAACCCTGGTATCCAAACAGAATACCTGTTCTAACTGTTCTTTGGATATCAAGTCAGCAAGAAGTGGATACAGCTCTCGTGGCAGTAAGGCTGATCTGAACAACTTCGGTGCCACAAGAACGAGCCATGTACCATTAATATAACGCTGAAAACTGAAACCCAGTACATATGTTCTGAACGCGTTGAAAAGAAATCATTTCCTGTCAACCTCAAACTATAGCACACACCACCGGATCATTCTGGACCACTCGTTATCAACTTCTGAACAGACTTGGTAATATACTGACCAGATGACAAGTTTTGCATAAGATTTATGATTTCGAAAAACTTATAACATGTGATGAGAATTTACTGATACTTTCAATGCCGAAGATTGCGATGCTGAAATTGCTAACGCTGCGATGAGTCTTTCACGAAAACATCTATGAAATGGCAAGGGCTGAACGGGTACAAAGTAAGGCTTCAAAGGGTTAAACATCCGGACAAGCTGTTTCACTGTCAGAAACGTAAAATGTTCTAGTCTTACGTTTGAAACTATGACCTTACGATCGAATTTAAACTCGCATGAATTTAAAGAAGCGCATTAAAAGCAGGTGGTTTACTGTTCTGTTGTGGCAAAAGCCGTGTTACTGTACTGAACTAATATAAAAATTTTTCATTTATTATTCAAACAACGTGAAAAATTTTGGTCACCTGAAAATCACTCCGCAACTGTTCCAGGAAGAAGGCCAAAAACAAGTTTAGACATGTTCTGGGACAAAAATTTAACGGACTGCTAGAGGAAACGAACAACCGGGAACAAGAATTTTATCGATTATCTATCCCAAAGCGATAAACTGTCATATAAATATAAACGGCATATAAATGACGCAAATACACGTAGCTGAACTCTTCCTAAAGTGTCAGTGACAAATTTCACTCACAACACTTCATTTATAGGGAAAAGGACGACATTGTCTATGAAATTGGTACGATTACGTTCTTACGGTCAGTCGGCCATCGACAGCGATGATGATTTACGCTTCTCTGGTACGTATTTATGGAGAAGGTGAATACTATTGAATCCGGTTTATCATCTGATTCAACTGTTCGTTCGCCGTTTGAATAACGAGTCTTAATCGGTAGCGACTTCGTAACGACTCTTAACGCTGTAAGCCTGTGAGTGGTCGTAAAACAAGACACAAACCCACCATAACGTCCATAACTCAGCGATTGCATAACTTATAACTCAATGTAGAGCGCATCAACTGTCGCGACCACCAAGTCACTGCTGGAAAGTCAATTCCATTGCATGCGGTTGGAAGGATGGATACGGATGGACAGCACGTGCAACCTGCACCTATTACAGATCAGATAAAAGACAGAACTGAAAATACATGACATGGCGCTCTCGTTAAGGCATAACTGCTCTGAATAAATTAATGTATCTCCATATGACTTGAGTTGTCCAGCACTTGTAAATCCGCATCCAGGGTTTTACACGCACCAA